GATTATGGGAAGAGTATCTCACATTCTCACATTATGGAAGGAACTTCTCGAACACTTCCTTACACCATAAGATTCGTTGGTCTTCTTGGCAGTCATTCTCTTGGTAGAAATCCAAAGTTTATGGCTACTGCAGTAGATTTAGGAAGAGAATTGATAAGGCGAAGAATTAGTCTTGCTTATGGAGGAGGCAACGTTGGCCTACAAGGAGCTGTTGCTTCAATAGTCTTTACCAATGGTGGTCTCGTTAGAGGTTTCATTCCTGGGTACATAGCAACACGACGGGTCTATGGACCTACGTACGGTGTAGAGCACACAGTTTCCTGTAATTACTACAAATATTTTGAGATGAATCATGCCGTGGAAGCTTTCATTGTTCTTCCCGGAGGAGTTGACACTATGGAAGGTTTGTTCAGTTTGATCTCGTGGGCTTCTGAAGGGTTACACAATATACCCATTGGTCTCATGAACATTGACGGTAATTTCAATAACCTAATCAAATTTCTAGATGATGCGGTGAGGCAGAACTTCGTGTATTTGAGTCAGAGGAAACTTTTCATTTCTTCTTTCTTTGTTGATGAGCTTTTAGAGAAACTAGAGTTTGCTAAAGCTTTCCCGGGACCTGGGGTTAGTTATGAGTTTCTAAATCCTGGAAGACTAGACTTAGAATTGCATCTGTAACTTTCCTCTTGTAATCCAAGTTGTATCTTGTGTTGCAATGATATTATCCATAAATCTTCTCCTAGGCTGTATGGCTAGTGCGAGCTACATTTTCTTCATTCTTCAGTCTTTCACTGTTGGTGTGCCACGTCGTGCTCTTTCATGTTAATAGCTAATACAAATGAGTCCATTTCAAAGTAAGGAGTAGTGATTCTTGATCGTCAATTTGTTCATGTTTCCTAACAGAGAATAGTTAGTATCCTAACCGTAAGTCAATCTTAGAGAACACAATGGATCCTCTAAGATGATCAAATAAGTCATGATACAAAGTAAAGAATAAGGATTTGTTTAATTGACGATAGTTCATACAGAGTCTCGTCGATCCTTCTGTATTCGCGTATGAACAAAGTAGTTATTCAAAGAGAAAACACTTGATCAAATGATTCTTTATTAAGGAATCCTTGAGTTTTCAATCTCAACGGAGGTTTATTCAACATGGAATTACATAGATATTAGATAGTGCAAATCCCGGATCAGTACATGGATAATTTTATAAATTATCAAATAAGGAAATATATTAATGACGACACTAGAGTTTTCTTCAACACGGTCTTTCATTGCATACACACATGCATGATTTTGTTTGCGGGTTACTTCCTCCTGGTGCAAGTCGGGCTGAGGTAGACTGATTTTGAACAGGGCCATCGGCATTGGTCTTCCAAGGGTTTGTAGGACATTGAAACTTGAATAAGCATTGGAGTGACCTTCAATATCTTGGTGGATGTTTTGATTGTCTGGTTCTTTTCGGACAACAAGAGTGAAATTCGATTTTTCAATATGAACCGTTGTGTGTCCATTGTTTTGCACTTGGTTATCTTGTCCGCACGCAGTTTCTTGACTCATTCTACAAATAGTTGGAATTTCTTTATTAGGATTCCTTATTTGCATAGGTGTGTTGATAACATATATCACGAGGGTATATAACAGTTGCGACGATTGAAAACAGTCAAGAGAGATTGGAAGAAACGATAGGGTTTATTAATTCTGAACGTTTTCGTTTGCGCCAACGATTGGTTCGCGTTGAGGCCACATGAGGATCTTTGACACCGGCTTCACAAATGTTGTTCAACATATATCAACACGAATCGTTCTTCAGGTTCCTCTCACTTCCGTGCGACTTTTCCGGTACAGATCAACTTCGTCATTCACGATGCGATGCGTACGTTGATAACGTATCAGAGGTTTATACATTTTTTTATTCTTTCGTTTCTTCACCGAATACGAAAATTCGACTTGAGTCTATGCTCGATATAATTTCAGTACTAACAATTGTTATCAAATGAGAGTTTAACACAGTCAATATTTACCAAGTAAATTCTTATACCTTTCCTGGAGCAGAGGGATGTGAGAGTCGTGGATGTGATTGACATTTTATTTTATTATTTTTTTAAAAATCAAATTTCGATCCGAAGATCAGGTTTAAAACCATTTGCTCTGATACCAAATTGTAACACCCTAATCCGTCCAGGTCTGCAGCCCCATTTGGACTAAAGTATTTAACATGGTAATCGTAAAATTTAAAACTTTTCAAACACACTTTATTAATCCCAATAATATTTTTCATAACATATACAGTACGGAGTATTTAACAAAATTGCGGAAGCGAATTTAATATTGACATATCATAAATTATTTCAAAACTTGTCACATCTGACAATCTCGCCCCATCTGCCGCCAGGATCACATTAATCTTTCTGTTTACCTGCGTGTAGCAAATAAAACACACTACACGCTCAGCGGTGAAGCTGAGTAAGCATATCTAAAACGTCGAACATCCACATAAATTGAATCTCAATTCATAATCAACCATTTGATATCATGCACACAATATATGGTTCAAACATTCAAAATATTTTCAATATTTTATTCCAAGTCATTTGATATTC